TCCACGCGATAAATTCACTAATTTCAGTGTTAACACCCGCATTGGTTACACCTAACGGAAATGCCATATGCAAACGGGTTACAAAAAGTTTTTCTGATCGCGTTAAACAACATGGATAAGAAGGCACGCGTGATAAAGCAATTTATGATACAAGGATTATTTGTTAAGTGTTCGCGAGAAAATTGAATGTTTAGAAATACGAATGAAATAAAGGATATTTTCTTGTATCGAATCGTAAAGACAACGATTTGTTCGATGGAAATGCTACGATCGAACCGTTTTCTGTACACGTTATAAAATTTGAATAACCAATTTCGAAATGCATTTCCCACTGCGCTCACTGCACGCGTTTGGAGTTATTCTTCCTGCGTTTACCTCTCTTTCATACGACAAAGAGAGTGTCGCGTAACCGTTCGAATAACGGGGATAATGCTTTCCTTATGCACTCGTGTAACTATCGTACAAGTAGTCGTGGTGTAACTCGTATTGTCGCGGAGCGGTTGCCACTGAAAAATCCAAGTTTTCTTCGTTCACCTAATTTCTGTTAATTCTTTTCGTCGCTCGAAAGTTAGATCGCGCGAATCCAGCAGAGGTGTCCGTTTACCGGTCGCACCAGACGAAAAGAGAAAACATACAAATTTCGATTGTAAACTATTAAACGAGATAGGTAAGAAGCGAAGTTAAAAGATGAACATTACGCTCGTAGCTTCAAAGAGTCCAGCGTAATTAACGCGTCCCAGTTCCCATAGAATTGGAAAATTTTTTCATAAACAACCGGATCCTCTATTTAATGGTAATCCCTTCCGCTCGTTTCGTTGCCCTTTCAGCGTTCACGCTAATTACTTACAAGATTAATTCCCGGCCAGTTCTAGCACGGATATTACCGGATTAAGTTGCTCTTTTGTGTCATGTTACAGACAGGAAGTCATTTTTCTTCGGCCAGCCTTTCGCAACCGAGGGATGGCGTAAAAAGGAGGAAGCAACAAAACAACTCCCGTCAGAATTTATCGCGTGCGAGCCTTGCAAACGACAATACGATTCCACCGTTGTGGCTCAAACTTAAATTGGCCACAACATATTTTACCCAGCATCCCCTATTAGTTTCTTGCGCGGTTAGTCGGTGCTTCGTTCAATTTCCAACTTGGTCCTTGCTTCGCGCTCGATCACCCTTTCCTTTGTTTTTTCGCTTCGCCGATCGAACAGATGCAACGTTTGTTCCTCTTCGAAGCGAACGCGTGGAGATTTAATCGAATTACTTCGATGAAAAATCGATGAGAGAGCACTCGGTAATTATTATCGTATTTATCAGTATTATTCGCGCACGAAAATATGTATTGTCGAGCACAAAAACGTGAAACCGGGAACCTAATGATTTTCCTATTCGCGTCAACCAAAATTTTTTCCAACTGGCACGCTTCTAGCTACTCGAAAACAAGTTTGTTTTTAAGCGTGCTGTATATTCGTAGTGAATAGTTTAATAGAGGACGAAGAGAAAGAAAACTCGTAAAGAGAAAGCGAGAGACTCATCGGACGGGTTATGTATTATGCATAGGAGTCAGTGGTCTCGGTTGAAATTGAACGCATCCCCTACCGAATGTCTTATACAATGTCGCTCGTGTACGTGCGCTTCTCTGCATGTAACGCGTCGGTGTACGCGGTGGCATTATTTCTTCGAATTTTGGGGTTCGTCCAAATTGGATCTCGCGTATTTAGTGGAACGACTACGACTCCGGAAGGAATTCGTAGCCGCGTACATACATACGTATAGGTAGGTAGGTAGAGAAGGATCGCGACGAGTGTCTACGTAGAGATGCGTTCAACTACCGGCTAGAATAACGGTGAAAACGAATGGCGATTCTGCTATTTTCTTCTCGCCAACGCGACACCACCGTCCGATTCCAAACCTTCCATCTTTCTTCTCGCGGTGATCTCTGCGAGACCACCAAGTAATTCCGAGTTATTTCGTGTATTCCATCCAATTACTCGTTCGCTACACCTTCTTCTAATAATCCGCTCGAATCGCCTGCCTTTATTGCTGCAACGTAATCCTCGAACGAACGAAGACGATGGAAAAAGAAAGAGGTGTGCCGATGATCCACTAGATGAGCGAGCACTCTCTGTTGTTATACTCGGTTCAATCGGGGAAAATAATTAGGTTTCGGATAATTCGTTCGAACCACCGAATTTAACATCGAACATATTTCCAGTTAAGTCGTACATCCGACAATGAGAAATGCCAAAATTCTTTCGGACGAGAAAAAACTTGTTATTTAGCGACTTTTGCGAGCGAAAAATTGAATCCTAACGGAGCACAAGAATCGTACGTTCGTCGAAAAGTCGGTAGTATTGCGTCGATTCCTATGATATTGGAAATCGATGACATCTAAAATAAAAAAAATATATGCATGCATACATATTTTCGCGCGTTCCTTTGTGAAGATCGACCTAATTTCACCGTCCAATTCGCGATCCGGGAAAATAAGGTTGCATCGGGTCGACCGATACCTAGTTATTTGTTCATCCTTGACTAGCGCGGGGATGTATTCCGACTCTCTATTACCTTCCCTTTCGAAACGAATCCTTTATACCGTCCTCTTTGACCGGTATTTTTCTTTGCACGCTTAATGATCGCGAGCCTATTCAACAGAGACTGATCACGCGCCGTTTAATCTCATTACTTGGCCCTATTTTTCTTTACCGACAATCTTCTTACAAAGATATTTTTCCCACGCATTCGCTCGTGAAATATTATTTCAAATTCTGATCTCATCGGGCCGGCTTCGTACATTGACCGTGTTCTATCGTAGTATCTACGACAAAATTTCTCGTCCGAATTTGGAATTTCATGACATCGGCGAAATAAAATAAAAGATTTCTCGAGACTAATTAAGCGAAACGTAATTACGCGAGATATAAGGTCTGGTGGTCCATTAAGAAATTCACGGTTGCGAAGGTGGATATTCGTGATATTTCACCGATAGACGATTCGGTAAATAGTCTCTCCCTGCTCCCTCTCCTGCTGCTGTTTCTCGGCAAAACAGCTATATCTGGATGCACGAGTAAGCGATGCAGACTAGAGGAAGCCGTGAAACTGCGCAAGATGTTAAACTCAAGGAAGATGAAAGTACAAAGTCTGGTCGTGACGCGAGTTAACTTCAAACGGCCGAAACGGCAAGATTTCAAGTTGCTCGGTTGATGACACGCTTTGTTACCGGGGTCCGTGCAACTCTGGCTGTGCCTTGCAAAAACACGCGCTGCAGAATGCAATTCATAAAATTATACCGTTTCGTTCCACTCTTTTCCTCTCTCTTCTCTTTTAGTCGGTGCTATCCTTTTCGATAGAGAATATTTCTCGTGTATTTGTTAACCGTGCTCCCGTTGGCTTCCGACGCTGCAGGCGTTGCGAGGAAATAAAGAAAACGTTGAAAACACGAAGATAATCTCCGAGGAAGTGGAACACGGCCAGAAGTTAAGATAAACAGCGAATTTACAATGGAAATTTCTTTTTCATAATCAGTCGGCTCCCGGCAACTTTCAACATATTTTAAAGCCGCGTTCACGGCTACCGTCTGTGCCGGTGAATTAGCGCGAAAGTAAGACGAAATCTGTTTATTGTTGCGCCGAGTAATTTCTATTGGGCTCGTTTCGCCGGAGCGCCGGGGTAGAATTCGTTTTTAGGGCGAGTTTGCATAGGTGGAAATTTTTGATCGGTCAGCGTAATGAAAAGTTTCGCGGCGTTGCGGCGATTCTCCGATGTCCACGATCGAAAACACGAATCCACAAGGGTGTCCGTCTGTTTAACGGTAAACAGGTCGATTCGGGCTGACCCAACCTACCCAACAAATCCTTATTAGAGCGACACTTGGCTAATTGCATAGCAGTTGTATCGCGCGAGAGAGCACACGATGCGATGTGTGCTCCAACAGTTACGAGGCTTAGATAAAGCGATAATGAATGACTACGGATACTCTGTTCGTCTCTAATGGAAGCTCTTGATCGCTTGTTTCGCGTTTACGTTTCGCTCGTTGTTGGCTCGCTGAGAGGTCGCTAAGCGGTCGTTGAGCGGTATCGCGTTGTCAGAAAAATATCTCTTTCTTTTTCTTTCGGTTCGCGGTAAAGACGCGGAATTGCTCGTTGCCGGAAAGTCGAGAACGATGGCGCGGACAAGATTGCTCGGTTTTAATCTGACGGCTAAACCAGAAATCCGGACGATCGACGTCCAGATAAACGAGCTTCCACCGCAGGGCATTACCAAAGTCATTTCTTGAATTTAACAACGCCATAAGCCCTGGTTAAAAGAGTGTTTAACGATCCATCCGATATCATTGAAATTGCTTGTTCCGAGTTTTAGCTTTCTGCCACCTTTCGGATTAAAGCGTGCGCAGCTATAAATCCTTCGACAGCAACGTTATCTCTCTCGTACGAACTCGTCACGCGTATAAATTTATTTTAAATAACAAGACCAACTTTTATCTCTCCTTTTACGGATAAAACTGACGCGATTAAAACTTAACTGCGAAGGTTTAGCCGCAGCCGGTGTCTTCTACTCGGTACAAAGGCTACGAGATCGCTTGAAAAATGAAGTCGCGCCCTTTCCGCTTCGCCTTTTAATTATTCAATCTCAATCTTTGCAAAAGATAAAGAGACGGAACAGTGGCAACGAGCAAGCTTTTAAAACCGGCGACTTTCGAGCGAGAAAAATGTATGGAAAGAAAGGGCTCGGAAGATAAGAAGATGTAACGGGGTGGGAAATCCGGAAGAAGAAATGACGAAAGAAACGATAGAAGAAGGAAAAGGAAATGAACGAAGAAAAAGAAAGTTCGAGACTGCTCGTAAATAAAGACTTACGAGAACATCGACGACAATTGACGGCAAGGAATGTTACGTTTACGTATTAATACTAAAATCCCAAAGTCTCGAGACACATTTTGAAAAATAACATTTTACGGTTTCTACTTAATTTCTATTAAGGCTGAAATAAAATGGAATTGTTTACTCACGCTTATGTTTGGCCCTCCTTCCGTCATCGTTTTCCAATTTCTCTTGACACGATCTTGCTAACACGATCACTTTTTTTCTCGCACATTGCAGTTTACACTTTTTTTCTTTAATTTCCACCTCCTCGGTTCGCTTCTCCCTTATTAATCTATTCGACCGCGTGAATTAACAACTTCTTCGAGAATGGTGCAATTATATATACTATTCGCGATTGCGAAACGATCTCGCGAATCATATTTTCTTTTAAAAGAGTAATGTTATCGCGAGAGATCAACGATAGCTGATAAAATAAGCGCTTCTCTTAATAGCTATTAATTAGTTCTGGTATCGAAACGAGTTTGTAAAATTTCATTATCGCGATTTGATTCCTTTAATACGCGATCCGCAATTTTCTTTTTCCCCGAGGAGATTATTTCGGTTCAAAGAACGAAAATTAAGCGAAATGAAATGCAACTTCTTACTTGAAACGAATTACTTCATAATTACAGAACTTGCGAATTACTTCCTCCTTCGAGATTTCTGTGGGCCTTTTAAATTCCGCGATAATTAACGAGATCGATTCTTGCACGAGTGAACCTCGGACTAATCTATCGAACATTTAAACGACAATGAAGTTAATATCTTACAACGGTGATTATTACCGTTGAAAGTAGTGTTTGTAGCGCGATCGAGAATTCTTTTCCAAATTTCTATCGGATTCTGCCAATTACTCTTAGTCACCTTTGCCTGCAGGTGTTGTCGTGTTTTTCAGCCTTGCGTTTTATTAGCGACCAATTAAATTGCTAATCTTGGTTGTGAATCGATACTCGAATAAAGAGTATTTGAATTGGTTTTAACGGTAATGCAAGTTGCAAATCCAGAGATGACTGTACACGTCGTATTTCCACGTATCTCTGTCAATGCAAACAGCAGCTTAACCGATAACGTAGCAAAGTAATCGATTACAACAACATATAATTGTGTTTCCAATTAATTCGATGCTCACCGGATAAAACGCATTACAGACACCGTGTCTCGATTGCAAAAGTGTCAAGTGTCTGTTACAGTAAAAATCCCCTTATTCGCGTTCGCTTAAATCGTATCAAAATTTACGATCGTGGTTTAACTTGTATTAACTGTTCGCGTATAGCATTATCACTTAATTTATACATTCATCCCTTAATAATACCGAAAACCTTCATTTTCAAAAAAATCTACAATTCCAACGCTTTATAATTATGATCGATACGTATTTGCAACCTTATCCGTACATATTTTCTAAGACGCCATTTTGCCCGCCAATTCTATGCAGATTTCTTTTGCTCGAATCTGTCAGCGATCTGCGCATGCGCGAAACCGCGCAGGATATAGACAAAGAAATGAGAAATAGAAGCTTAAAAAGAAATACTCGATGGGGGAGTAAAATGAAAATGCACGAATATAAAAATAAAAAGAGAAGAAGAAAGTCTGACGCGTTGGATTTGCGTTCAAGAAGCATCTTACGACACGTACTACTACTACTAATACTACTGCTATTACTACAGCACGTACCACCAATGTCTTCGAGTATTGCGAAATGTCGCTTGGCAAGCTTCTACGATCTTCGATAAATTTGTATACCGTATGCCAAGCAGGTTGCCACGACAGGATTTCTCTTCCAAGAGTCGTCCTTCTTTACGCGATATTCTTATTGTACGTGCACCATTCTCGAAGAGATCGCCGCACAACCATGTCAAAAAACTTGTACCGGTTAACGCGTCCGGGTAATGCTACGTCACTTTCTTCGTGTTACATGACACAAAGCTTCTTTGCACTTTCTCTCAACTTATATACCCCTGGATTACAGTAGATATCGAGGTTTAATTACGATAAATTCGAAAACACTTTTTCTTACGAAAATAATAACGATCGATTGTTATAGAATTATCGCGTAAGCTATATAATAACAACTCTTACGAATATCACCACTGATTATCGAACAATGATATACACGCACAGCGATTTATAGCGGAGTCGTCACAAAAATTAATTTCAAGTAGAGTTTTATACACGAGTCGAAGACATAAACAAAAATAAAACGATATGCCAGGTGAACCGCGACGAACGATCACCCAGCTCGGACGACTGGCGGCGTACTAATAACGGGTGACCGCGGGACACAGGGGCCGATAGTTTGTATTCCTCCGCGCAGGCGCCTCTTTGAAAGAAGCACAGATCACTGATACCAACACAACGCAACGAACTGAGTATACCGCGACACAAGCACACATCGATTGTATAGATACCTGTTGAATGCCGGAATCAGAGTCAGCGGCACGTTGGCGGTCAACTAAATCGAAAAGGGGCAAACGAACCGATGGGAAAGTACAACCTTCTCTAATACGTCGACGTGTACTTTCTCGATCGATTGATTTTTTCGTCCGTTAAACTTTTTCTCGACCGATTTACTCGATGCTGCGAATTGATGGACGTAAAAATAAAAGAACTCGGTGGATCAGAACCACGCGAATCGTTTAGTTGTCAGAGATTCATGGATCCATGATCATTTCTTTTACTCGCTTTGAATAGAACTACACTCTAGACTTGCAGGGCCTCTGTCGTTGTTGAAAACATTCGATAGTAAATTTATTCGAACAAAACTGCAAAATAACATTTTTTTCAATGCTGATAAAGATGCGAATGGAGGCATGAATCTCGACTGCCTAGTATTAGGATTGCAGGAATACAACTAATGGAACATAAGAACGTATCAGTAATTTGCGCAAACAATAATGAAACCCAGTTTTTAAACCTGTTATTCGTAGTCGCACTCTGATGGTATTCTCGATGCGTCGGTAAAATGTAATTTAGCTGCTGAGTAAAAGACCATGGAATTCTGAAATTGACTGCGACCATGGCCGCACAGACTGGAATCGTGTGGTTTTCCTCGACAAGTAGACGTGAAAGAAAAAGAATACTCCGAAAGGCTTGTTGCAGTCTCCTACTGGCGAAGGACACCGTTCAAACGTGGATTATAATAATTTGATCTTATTCGACAAATATTCTTATGCACGAACCCGAAGGATTATGAGGATCTGCAAATAGGACCAATAATCATTTAAACAAAGCACAACTTTGTATTTACAGGTTTGGTGTTAATTTATTTGGTCTTGCAATTTTTATTTTCGGCACAACTTGGCAATGATTTTCGACTTTAATCTAAATTCTTCGTTTCTTTTCTGTTGTTTGTCAATAACCATTTAATCTATAAATTGACTTAAGTTCACTTAAACTTTAAAAGATATTACCGCTGTGAATGATCGCGTGGTAAGCAATCATTCGTAACGCTATCTACATGTATTTTATATATGTATATGCATGAATTGCAAATTTTTCGCTCTACTTATTTAATTTTAATTTTAACTATAGGTATAGAAGTACCGAAGTCTTGGCACCACTTGGATCTTTCGTAAAAGAAAGATACCGAGAGCTGTAATTAAAAGGAGCCTTTGCGACGAACGTAGCACAAGTTATACATATGTATACGCGGGTCTCCGATTCGTCGAGACAATGAGGAATCCTTGTCATTTAATTATAATGATTTATTTATTATAAAATTATGCGTCCAACAAATTGTAAAGGAATATATGCATGCATGGAATCGAATCGATCGTACAGGCGATCGTTAAAGAAAAATTCTTTTGCGATTGAACATTGATATACAGTTCTTTAATCTTTTTTTAGGTTCGAAGCGAATCACTGTACAGGTGGATCTTCTTTTTCTTTATTTAACATTTTATCTTTCTCCGTCGAACGGATGGTCAAATAAACGTTTATATAAGGAAGAGCAAAGAACATTTCTACGAGTTTCAAGCTGCCGAGAATCTTCTCTTGGAGTCGAAATCCTTGTTCTCCCTTACATAATAAAAATCTTCGTTCATTCTTCGCTTAACTTTTCTTACCTATAAAATACTCGATTTGTTGACTGTTTCTTTCGTCATAAAAAACGTATAAAACATTGCTTAAAATGAATGTTTAAACTTACTCGAGGTAACCCATACGTGTATTACAAGGAAACAATCTACGCATCGAATGAAATCAAATTTCATTGTCTGTTTGTTTTTTTTTTAATCTTTTCTCTCGCTTTACACGCTTCCCTTTTTAAGCCTGGCACGGAGCGCAAACACGGAAGTCGAAGGCATTCCATAATACTCGACCAACGATGAGCCAGTAACAGTCTTCTGAAGTTTCAAGCACGACAAGATCGATGGAGTTTCTGACCTATTTATGAAATTTACAAACTCCAAAAATATATCTTAAGTGATACGTGTGAAAGAATAGACGCAGTAAAAGACGATACCTTGAAACATGCATTATCGGAGAGACGCTTCTCTCCTTCTCGAATATTATTATCTACTATTTCTTTTCTCTCTTTTTACGATTGACTTCAACAATTGAAACATACAATGTAATCCCGATAACCCATACTAATCCACAGAATTGCAACTAAATAACGAATAAAAAAGAGAATTATCGAACAAAACGTTAAGTAAGCGAATAGTTTACACGGATAATTTAAGTCCTTGTTACGCTTATCTAGAGGTATCCTATTAAATAATGCAAGCTACTCGAACAGAAGAGTTTTAATAAAAATACTGTTTTTTATTGTTAAATATTTCTCGCTAGAAAGGTACAGTTTTTTTCGTCGTTGTAAATCTTTTTCAAGATTTACGCTCACGAGGCCCATCGAGATTACACTGTACTTGATAATAATAAAAGCATATTATCGACATGAGTACTTATATCGCGAATGGTTTCCGTAACAAAAACAGCCATTCTCTTCTTTTTCGATGGGACGATTAAATAGTAAATAATCTTTTTTTTTTTTTAATATTTATCTCATTTGGTTTTAATTTCCGTCATTTAATAATACGTGCTAATCGTATCTATTCTCAACAAGTTCATCCCTTACAATGATTAATATAACAGCCTGCCAGCAGCGCAAAGACTAAAGATATTTCATTTTGTTCGCTCTTCTCTTTTTTTAATCTTCATCATTTGTTTCTATGCTTCGCATTCCTTTTTTTTATTTTTTCATTTTTGTCAGCGACAAACTAGTATATAACTTCTTTTTCTTTCTTTCTTTGAAATAACCGCAAAATCTTACGAGGCAACGACGTAACGTACGTATAAGCATTCCTGGAAAAATTCATGATGTCAATTTATACTATTCGGTAACGTCACGTAAAACTCGTTGCTTTGTTTGTTACTTTTTTTTTCTTTTAACGACTCTTAATTATAGGCCTCTGGTAGAGGCGATTCTTGCGAATGCGTTCCACAGGCATCTAGGCACGACAGATATAAAAGTAGTACGTTCAGGAATATTCAGATTTATAACAATCGATATTCTAAAATAGTGCTATCACGTTGATCTAACTCTAAAAACGACGTTTTCACTTCTTTTAGCAAATTTTTTTGTGATTTTTTTTGTGTTCTTTTTGTTTGTTTATTTGCTGCTAAATGATGAACTGGTAGCGTTGAAGCAACTATATATCACTCGTGTGATTAATGTCTGCCGTTTGCGCGTCAGTGGAAACCTCGCTCAGAAGAGTAGCGCCTCGAATTTGCATACTAAAATTCTTCTTTTATTACAACATCAAGCACGCGGCCATTCTTTTCTGACCACTTTTGAATTCGTATAAAATTTCTTTTTATTTTAGAGTATGTACACAGGATGATTCTAACAATCGAAACTAGTTATAATCCTATTGCGAACGAAGATAAATCTTTATCCACTGTCCTTTTTTTTCGTAGAAAGAATCCGATAAATTCATTAAAAAGAATCTATAAAATATTAATAATACTAACTAAATCGTAAAAAATTTTTCTCTAAAAAAAATTTCATTATCGATAGATTGGATCAATAGATTGGATCAACCACCAGAATCACCCTGCATAGCAGGTGTTTAATAAACCATAAATTCCTATGAATATGAAGAGAATCCTCCGCTAAAAGCAAGACAACTTTCTGAAAACAACCAATCGTGAACAAACCTTTTGTTGTTAACTTCAACTTCAAACACCGTACGTTGACTTAATTATTTATCAATGAGAAAAACTGTCTTATTGTCAGCGATAGATTTCTCCATACGCAAGAAATCTACAATTTATAAAATACTCTGTATGTGTGTATATATGTATATATACTTAGGACCCTTATTTATCTAGGTTTCATTCACATTCTCTTGATTTTTTTAATAGCGAATATGTAACTATCTGCATAATTCTCGCGATACCTTATATAAATCAACTCGAAGAGTATATAGGAAGTAACCTGTATGTTTTTTTTTCCTTTTATAGATTACTACGGACACGGATACATCTTCCGAGAAGTGCTGTGTGCAATGAGAGAAAGCTTTTTTCGCAACCGTACAAAGAATATGATATTATTGTACAACTCGACAGTTCCGACATAAGGAAAGGGGACGGGGAATAATTACGACATTATGATTTCTATACGATCAAACTCTCTGGTAGACAATCGTCGTCGAACGATGTCACGATCGAACGTTTGATCGATTAGATCCGACTCATTGCTGTTTACTTTTCGTTTTCTTCGAAAAAGCTAACTCCCAATATCACTGCAGCAAAAGAGAGGGTACATGGAAAGTGATTGCGGTAGAGACTAGCAATTATTAGAATCCGGTGGCGTAACAAGATACTCATCCGCGCGTTTGTGATCGGACAATGCCCGCATCGTGTACGTGTCTTGAGGTAAGTCGCTTTTCCTTCGCAAAAGTGGCTTTGTTTTATTGGAGGTGGTCATTTTTTTTGCCTATGGCAAAAAAGACTCATTTTAGACTTCTTAATGGAAAAAAAAAAAAACAAACGATGGGGCGACAAAGGTCGGATGCGATCAGTCATACCTCGTTTGCCTTTGCTTCTATTTTTTCCAATGTAAGCGGAGTCTGATCCGGATCGCCATCTTCGTCTGGCGGGGGACTATCTAACTGTTGCTGCGGTATCGTAGATGTGGTGTTTGTTATGCCCTTTATGGTTGCGTTATAATTTGGATGTTTCATTGCTAAAGCTTCGACGCGCATCCATGCTTCATCCCTGTCCTTCATGAGCTTCCTTTCTCTTTGACGGTCCTAAAAATGTTTCGATAAGAATCGACTCCTCTCTATCGTTTAGTTACGACGAGAAATAGCGTACTTGATAATACTGTTGAGTACATTCGTCGAATACTTTCTGATTCATTTCCATGAAAAGTTTTAACGCGTTGTAAATCAAACCATGTATGGTTTTGTTCCAATGATTTCGCGAATTTCTGTAAAAAGCTGGATACATGATCGGTAAAATGACGGAATAATTGTCCGATATAAGGGACATTATATATTCGTTGTTCCAGTAATAGAGAGCTCTTTCGGCCACCTAAGAAAAGTTAGACAATGCGTTAAAGAATCAAAAGTTTAAAGAATACTGTTGAGAAAACATTAATTGAGCATACCTGAAAATGTGGAGACGAAACACATTTTGCTAACTGCCTAAACAATGGGTCCATAACTTTCTGGAATTCGGCAGGTTCAATCACGTCTAGAATTTCTTCGAGTTCGTTCAAAAACATCACTTCTTTCGGGGAATGTGTCTTCGGCCAGAACTTTAACAAGCTTCTGATAACCGGTTCAGTCAACGATGGATCCTTCTCTAAAAATTGCACAACACAATACGCCAACTGCGGATGATACACGGAAAGCGATTTAGCTTTGTGCAACGGCAAAAGCACTTTTAACAGAAATATTTTGTGCTCTTCTTTGAGTGGCAAAGCGAATCCATTAATTATACTGAAAGAATAAAGAAACCAATGAACCTGTTATACACCTATTATTACATTTACGATAGGTCAGATTAGAATACCTTCCCAAAATCTCTAAAAGTTCGGCGATACCATTATGATGTTCTGTCTCGTATATAAATCGATAAAAAACGTTGTTTATTTGCTTCCTGATATACGCTCTCAACCCTAAGAATTTCCCGTAAATCCTATGGAGCGTTGTCTTCAGGAAATCTCTTTCTCGCGGATCCTCCGAATCGAATAGCTCCAAAAGTTGCAATACGAACTTTTGGTCTATGTATCGTCTGGCAATGGTGGGTTGGAAATCTTGGGACTCTAACAACCGCAGGAAGAACTCATACACCAGCTGCAAGTGAGGCCATGCCGCTTCCAATGTCGGTTCATCCTCCTCTGGGTCGAACTCTGCTCCGTTTGGATTCGACGACGGAGGAAGTGTACGGAATAAATTTACCGCGAACTGCAAAACCTCGATTCTGTTAGAAAATCATTCCGTTCTTTTCTCTAAAGCGAAAGTTCGTAACATCTGCCGTGTTGATGACTTTCACTCTCGATTTTTATCGAGATGAAAGAAATCGTATACGATCGATACAAGCGATGGCCAGATCAAGTGGCCAGGAAATAGCTTATGGACATCGGCGTAGACGCATCGGTTACCACTTGATCCATCTATCGCTGATCTATAGGATCTATAGGATATAACCGATGACGAATCATGCGCGTTTTTCACTCACCATGTTCACAGCTTCGGGATATATCGCCTCTGTGATAACGTTTTTGTTCTTGGAAACGTACTCGACCATCTCGTGCAAAGCGGTACGCTTCACTTCTTTCCATTTCAAGTCCGATAACGGATCGGACTCGAAGTCGAAAAGCACGCAACATTGTCGTAGCTTCTGTATGAAAAGTTCCTCCCTCTCGTTTCCTTGTTGTGTTTCTAAAACAAGCAAACAAATAATAAACCATTTCCGCACGAAGGGAAAACGCATTCGAAACAATAAGTAAAGAAGCAATTTTTGTACGTGTACAAAAACTTTTTCTCGCTCATAAACTCGCATGGGCTCTTTCATTCTTCCTCCTGTTAACACACGCACGCGCTTCACACAAATTCTTCGATTGTTATAAAGTCTTTCTTTTCCCCTTTCATACCCTTACTACTCTCGTTTCTCTACTCCCCTCTATCGCCCTAGTCGCTCATTCATGTACTCCCTCGTATAAATTTTCCGTTGCATTCTACTGTGACATGAAAGAATATACTATCAATTTCTTGCATTTTATATTGCATTTTCTTCAATTTTCATACGATCTTGTAAATTTACATGATTACAAAATTTTATAGCTAAACATTCAGGAGGTCCGAACATTTCGAAAAGTGCGAACAAATTTTCAAATCTCTAAATTTCTACCCATAATAAATACACAGGTTTCGATTCTAATGCGCGTAGTGAACGCTCACAAAATTTTCTTTTAATAAATTTGTTTGTTATTATTTTCTTATTATCATCGAGTAACAGGATAGACCTTTCTATTCTTTCGGACATCTTCACCCCCTACCTCGGATCTTCTTTCTCTACATTTTCTTGAATTACTCTTTAAAAAGTTCTTTCTTTTTTCATTCATTTCTCTCCCCAATCGTACATTCCATTCATCCCCTTTGGACTCTTCCATGAATTCCTATCCCTTTCTATCTCTCCTCGCACATCCTTCTATTTTCGCAACCTGTCTCTCTCGCGCATCTCTCATTAGACTCGTCCTCTACTCGTCACTCTGTAACATTTAACACTTAAACCTGACAATCAAAATTAAACTTGAAAGGTATCGTTACCGATTAACAACGGTCGTAACGGTTGATAGTGTGAAGTAAAATTGGTGAAATAGGATTTATTCGGTTCTCGAGAAACTGCTGTAGCTAAAGCGAGCCCCTGATGAAAGCTCGGACTTTTCGGTAGACCGCCGGATGAAAATGGAATATATCCGTCCACGTGAACCATTCTACTTTTCGATAGATTCTATATTGTCTCTTGTTATTTTCACCGGAACCTCGATTCTTTATCTTGACCTGCTTATGACAGATTACATCCCCTACACGCACCGGCTTCCTTGTTCACGTAACAATCTGTTGCTTCGACGTAACTGACCGTTCGTTCCAGCGAAACTCGGACATATCTCGATTTATATTACAATACGAATCACCGGATGATCGGTGCCGCGTAACGTTGTCAAATCGTAGGCTTTAAAATCGATTTCGATAAACAGAAATGGTACGGATGATTCGTATGGTGAAAAATGCCGCCGATATCGAGAGCCGTTTGAACGAGCAACGACTGTTTATGTTAGAAAACTAGAAATTGCGAGTAATGCGTACACGCATGCGCAAACCACCGCGCCTTACAATCGATACAGCCTGACTGACGTAGTTACTTTCGCAATTCGAATCGAATGGAATTAAAAAACAAAACTATCGTGATTAGTTTACCTTTCGAAAAAGACGAAATTAACAATGAGTTGAAATTGGAAGTGCAAATAAAGTATGATCGTTCTAGTTTTTTCAGTTCTTTTTTCTGAACACTGTAAGGACACTGTAACGACGTGACGGAAGAAACAGCGATGCGCAACGTTCTAGCGTTTTAAAAGTTCTTCATAATCTACATCGGAGAAAAAATGTTATCAATAATTATAATTTCTTTAATGATACATGAATGTAATATGGTAACTAAATTCATTACTAAGTTTTCATTATCAACAATAAACTTTGCAAAATAAAATAGATTATTTACAATAAGTTAATTCAACATGCATAGATTTTCAATCGATGTATCGATCGTCTCAGTGTCGCCCTCTGTAAAACGGTTTATGTGCAGATTTGGATACTTTCGAGGGAAATATTTCGAACTCGAGTGATAAGTATTAAAGTATATTCCCTTCACTTTTTAACTCTGGCTTTATTTAAAATGAAAATTCTGAAGCACGATTCGACGCGGGAACGTTACAGTTGATTGTAATAAATGCGTTCCTTAGGCAGTAGGACTTTCGAATTAAGAATTAAGTTTTTATCATTAGCTGCTTTACATGAACTCGTACGAAATTTGAACAGTTTAGTGCTATAAGGAATATTAACGAAACAACAGAGTGCGCTACACCCTAGATTACATAAAGCGACAATAGGTAACCACTCTGGTATACCCTCCGCGTATTCATTAAGTATATTGCGGTTTATTCCTGGCAAAGACAATAATGACAAGGTTTATTATTCCTACTTTGGCAAACTGTTATACTAATCGGTGATTATGTAGCAATCATTGCTGAAGAAAGCAAAATGGACTATGTACTTCGAGAACCCTGAAGCCAATAATAGTCCTTAATGAATTTATTGTAGGAAGATAGTTTGACGAAAATTATTCGTCATAAGTCGAGTTAAAAATAAATATCTGCGACTGAACTGAAGTTACTTCGCATTATTATTACTGAAATTAAAGAAGTCTACGTGAATGTTGATATTAAAAAAAAATTGTTCTTTTAACTGTAGAAAGTATACCATATTTTTAATTATATCGATATCGTTATCTTTAATTTTAAAAAATTATTTATTAACGTAATGTAACTTGATTTGTATAAAATAAATTTTATTCTGTTCACTTTCAGATGCAAAAATTAATTGCGGCAACTTACCGGATAAAAGCGGTAATTTCTGAAGTTCTCGATTTTTCGATATGTTGAATCTTGAGCTACTTTGCCGTTTATCCTTTTTTATTACAGGACCACCAGGTTGATATTTAATCTTATTAATTAACGTTGGCGGTGGTGGTGCATTGGTTGCTGGGGGTCCTCCTGCTACCTTGTTAGTCTATGGAATAATGAATAGTGTTTCATAACAAAAAGAGCAGAAAAACAGAATGTTTGTAATTGAAAACGTGTTAGAATTTGTATAATGCAATTTGAAATCCTTAATACAATACATGCACGAAAATTGCATACACAAAACAATAAATGAAAAACCCATTCTAAGAGATGCACCTAATCCTCAACAATGTAATTTTCTGTAACTTTATGGAAACGAATATCCAAACAGTTTGAAAGAATTTTATTCTGATAGTTCATATTTTCGAAAGCACCAATAAATGCAAATGTCCAGTTGGAAACTGGATAGCAAAGCTTTCTTATCGCTTACAGAATAACTGGGAAGAATCTGATTAACGAACATATCTTCAAAAGATATCACAAATTGGAAATAAAACTTAATTTTTAAAAGCAAATATGTATGCCAATTTATGTGTATTTTTCATTACATTCGGTACAATTCTTCCAATGTTCCATTAATGCATGGCTTCCTCGAAAGAAGTTTTGTAGTTGACCTTGAAACCATTCATGCGCTACTGGTCTTGGCCCTTCGTCTGAGCTGATGTCCTTTATAGCATCTTCTAGTGGTCAAAAAAGATCACGGTTACTCGCGAATAAGTTTGAACAATACGTAGCATAAAATAATGCTCTTATGTCAGTATCTGGGGCTACTTTCTAGTATACTACACGACATACCCACATTGTGGGAAACGAAGAAACTGATACAGTTGCACAAGAATAACTTCAAGACCAATCACAAAACTTCTTCTTGAAGAACTCGGTAGCTGGTGTACCCCTTGACGACGCGTGTTGCATAACAATAACTGATAATTATTGTCTCTAACTTATAAAAGAGAAATTTTGAATATTTAGTAAGCATTTTTTTGTGATTGATTGAACAGTCTTGAAAATACATGCATATATATATATATATATATATATATTAAATATATTTATTAAGTTTTTATTCTTTGTGTACTACTCTACTCTACAACTATTGTACAAATAAAAATATTAAATACGATCTTTATAATAGTGCAATAAGCAAGGAAAATGCGATAATAACTTAATGGCAAAATAATATTACAGATGCATACATAATTTATGTGGTTGAAATAAAATATTTATAAAATTATAAGCAATTCATAAAGTAAACGTAAAATTGTCGTTTACATTTCGAACGATGATCAATTGCTCATCAATTTTTTACGTTATCGGCGATCGATAATTATATAGGTGTCATGCAACACACTATACCTCTCTACGGATTAAACGGTATGATATGCGGGTATTTAATTGTAACTTGGTAATTAAAATGAATAACGGTACATTATTCTGCCACTAATTTCCTAGTTTTTTCTTTAAAATAATCGAAAAGTTCAAATAAAATTAATACAAAATAAATATATCATGAAACTGGATAGTTTATGTAAGTATTATATTAAAAGTTTTATCTATTCGTCAAATTAACGTCGTACTTTCGAAAATGTGCATAATAAAAATATATAACATTTTCGGCAAACTTACAAAACTGTAGTATAAAAACTTTTATTAGATGTGCATGAAATAAAAATGATTAAATATAAGCATAAAGATAATTGCTCATTGAACAACTAACGCGTTAATCTTAACGATCAATTAACATTTTTATCATATGCTTAGCTGCGCGGTAATATCATCCTTGGAATTCATTTCATTCATATCGTAAATAAGAAATCGCGCTCCACATGGATTATGTATGCATAATTATGATCAGGAAGTACATTAGAAAAAGAAAATAAAAAGTAAGTTGTTGAAAGTCAAAACCATTTACACTTAGTAAAGATAACTTATATTGTTTATCTATAAAGGAACGACAAACTATAAAGGTGAAAATGTATCTTTCGTTTACATCGTTTTCTATTTATCAACTAAGTGCATACTTAAGCGCCACCTGTGCCAAGTAACATTTTTTTTTTAAAGAGAACTTTAAAATCCTTTCGAACTCATATTCATAGGATAATTTTTAACTAAAAAGAGACACATTGACCGATTGTATTACAAAAAAGATATCCATGCACTACAAATTATACGTAACGCGATTTCGTGAAAAAAAACATTTCAGGTGGCACACCGTCGAAGATGGACACCGGATCGCTTTCTTTGTGTACTACTCTACTCTACAACTATTGTACAAATAAAAATATTAAATACGATCTTTATAATAGTGCAATAAGCAAGGAAAATGCGATAATAACTTAATGGCAAAATAATATTACAGATGCATACATAATTTATGTGGTTGAAATAAAATATTTATAAAATTATAAGCAATTCATAAAGTAAACGTAAAATTGTCGTTTACATTTCGAACGATGATCAATTGCTCATCAATTTTTTACGTTATCGGCGATCGATAATTATATAGGTGTCATGCAACACACTATACCTCTCTACGGATTAAACGGTATGATATGCGGGTATTTAATTGTAACTTGGTAATTAAAATGAATAACGGTACATTATTCTGCCACTAATTTCCTAGTTTTTTCTTTAAAATAATCGAAAAGTTCAAATAAAATTAATACAAAATAAATATATCATGAAACTGGATAGTTTATGTAAGTATTATATTAAAAGTTTTATCTATTCGTCAAATTAACGTCGTACTTTCGAAAATGTGCATAATAAAAATATATAACATTTTCGGCAAACTTACAAAACTGTAGTATAAAAACTTTTATTAGATGTGCATGAAATAAAAATGATTAAATATAAGCATAAAGATAATTGCTCATTGAACAACTAACGCGTTAATCTTAACGATCAATTAACATTTTTATCATATGCTTAGCTGCGCGGTAATATCATCCTTGGAATTCATTTCATTCATATCGTAAATAAGAAATCGCGCTCCACATGGATTATGTATGCATAATTATGATCAGGAAGTACATTAGAAAAAGAAAATAAAAAGTAAGTTGTTGAAAGTCAAAACCATTTACACTTAGTAAAGATAACTTATATTGTTTATCTATAAAGGAACGACAAACTATAAAGGTGAAAATGTATCTTTCGTTTACATCGTTTTCTATTTATCAACTAAGTGCATACTTAAGCGCCACCTGTGCCAAGTAACATTTTTTTTTTAAAGAGAACTTTAAAATCCTTTCGAACTCATATTCATAGGATAATTTTTAACTAAAAAGAGACACATTGACCGATTGTATTACAAAAAAGATATCCATGCACTACAAATTATACGTAACGCGATTTCGTGAAAAAAAACATTTCAGGTGGCACACCGTCGAAGATGGACACCGGATCGCTTTGGCGTAGAATAAGTCATGAACGAAATTCCGACAGCAAATGATACAATACGACAAATTCGATGATTTCCAAAGATCGATTCGTCAGGCGCGTAAAAATAAAAAAGAAATACCAAGTAATAACAAGAATCGTGGATGACAAAAGTCGATTTGAATCGAATCGAGTCACGTCAATCGAACGGAACAGAGAAAGACGATATAACCTCACCTCTTCGCTTGTCTCACCGTCCTTGCCATTCTTTCCCTTGTCCTTGCCGATCTTGCTCGCATCCTGGAACAAAACGATTAAATTGCACCGCGTGTACGAGCGTACAATGCCACGACAGCACGATTCACGTTCGAGACGCGACCCGCTCGACGAACTTGCACTCGCGATATCACTACGGTAACGAAAATTAGTTCAAGTACCATTGCCAGGTCCTTTGATAAGTTTGGTCGAATAAACGTGTCAGCGAAAAGGATATCAAGAAATCAGAATCACGCTACACCCTTTGGTGTCTCAGCTACCGGGGTTGTTTCCCCGAACTCTCTTTACTCTCCCTTCTTCCCTTTCTCTCCTATCCCTGTCATCGTCACCCTATCTTTCTCTCTCTCATATACACTACCGCTCTCTTTCTCTTAAGCGCGCGCGTGCCCGCGATCTTTCCTCGTCGAAGGAACACTGTTTTCACGTATGCGAGTACTAGTACCGATCGCATTACGCTGGATCTACATTGAGCGAACGAGCGCGAACGAACACCAGGAAATATTTGTTGGGGTCGATGATATATTACCGATTGTTGTGCGATATAATCGCTTTGTTTCGATATCTTTAAAATAATGAACATGAACTGGACGTTAATATTTATAAACGTCATATATATTTAAAAACAAATGCATAAATGCAATTTTTATTAACGCACACGAAACATTCACGTGATATATTTTAATAAATATTTTGTAATTTCGGTTTTGTATTTCAGTGAATTTAGTTTAAAATCTAAATAATTTAGCAATACGAGGTTTGCTACCCTTTCGTATTTAGGGACCCTACTTGTAACTAGATGATTTATACACACATACGAATGCAACTGTTTTGATTATGTTCTCGAAAGAGTCGAGGAATAGTGATCAAACAAATTTGCATTTTATAGGTAAATTACAATAACGATAAATTTACGATGTAAAAAGTATGAAAGACTGTTAAATACAAATCAATGTTTCAACATACTTTTTATTTCAAATAGATTGTTAGCGTGTATCAGCTGTGCAATATATTTATGTAACCTAAAAAAAATGGCAGAGTGTCGAAGAGAAATTACCGATGAAAAACCAAAACCGATATTTCGTAACTTGGCAGCAGATGATCCAGAGCCAGAAACGACCGAGATAGAGAGTCTTTGTGTAAACTGTGGAAAGAATGTACGATATCATAAATTTAGAATTTAAAATATAAACGTTTATGATTTGTCATGACTAATATGCCATTTTGTAAATTCAGGGTACTACCAGATTGCTTTTAACGAAAATTCCTTATTACAAGGATATTGTGTTAATGTCCTTTGATTGCGGACATTGTGGCTATCAAAATAACGAAATACAGAATAGTGGGAAAATTGCGGACAAAGGAATCAGAATAATGTTACAAGTTACATCACTTAAAGACTTGAATCGTCAAGTAATTAAATCTGATTACACCAGCATAAAAATTCCATGCGTGGACTTTGAAATCCCTTCTAGATCGCAAAAAGGGGAAGTCACAACAGTTGAGGGAATAATAGAAAGGGTCATTACTGGATTGGAACAAGATCAACCGGAGAGAAGAAAACAACATCCAGATGCTGCAGCACAAATTGATCAATTTATTGAAAAATTAAAAAAACTTAAATCTGTGGATGAACCATTTGTTATGATATTTGAAGACATATCAGGAGAGTCTCATGTACAGAATTTAAATGCTCCATTAAAAGATGAAAATTGTGTTGTAACACATTTTAAAAGAACGATAGAGCAAGATCACATTTTAGGAATTTATTCCGAAAATTCGGAGGATACTTTGTTAAAACCTATAAAAGAAGGAGAATATACATTGGAGCAAATTGAGGGTGAAGTACTATCTTTTAGAACAAATTGTCCAGAATGCAATTGTCCATGTGAAACTAACATGAAGATGACCAGTATCCTTTATATACTTGTAAATTATGTAATGTTTTTTACTATTGATATTTAGTATCTAAATTTTCATCATTGAACAAATATTTATCCTTAATTGGTTGAATAGATATTCCACACTTTAAAGAAGTGGTAATTATGGCAACTGTTTGCGAATCGTGCGGACATAGAACTAACGAAGTCAAGAGCGGCGGAGGTATTGAACCTACCGCAGTAAAGATAGAAGTAACAGTCGCGGGAAAAGATGATTTTAGTCGAGATTTATTAAAATCTGAAACTTGCTATTTAGAAATACCTGAACTGGAATTGGAAATTGGTCCTGCAGCGTTGGGTGGACGATTTACCACTGTTGAGGGTATTTTAGTAGCGATTAAAGAACAGTTATTAACATCGACAGCTTTTACTGGCGACAGTAGTGACCCCGAAACTGTAAAAAGGATGGAAACTTTTATAAATCAACTAAACGAGGTATTAGAAGGAAAACGAAAAATAACATTGATATTGGATGACCCAGCAGGTAATAGTTACATACAGAGCCTTTCGGATGAAGGTCTGGACGATGGCTTAAAAATCACGAAGTACGAGAGAAGTTTTGAACAAAACGAAGAACTTGGATTGAACGATATGAAAGTAGAAAACTATTAACCAGTCATTGGAGAAATCGTTAATATAAGACAATGTCAATAACACTAAGATAATGCCTCAGATTTTAACGCAACAAAAAATGTAATATAAGTGTACACATTGTGTAAATACATATTTTTTATTGAAACTTTAATTTATATTATTCCCCTAATGAGACGACAGGAGATCAATATTTTTTATTAGTACCATTGAAACGAAGAATGTAATTTCTTAAAATAATTATACGATTGGTATAGCGTCGAGCTTTTTCAGTTTGGGCAGTCTTTTAGTAGCTTGACTGCGCCACGATTCTACGTCCATATTTTCACAAATAGGATTATTAATAAATAATAGGTCTTCGAGATTCGGTATTTCTTGCAAACGATTAAATTCTGTCCAATCCTTTACCAAATTGTTAGACATGTAAAGTACTTTAAGCGCTTTTAAAACATTAACACCTTTGATTTTTTCAATTTGGTTATAAGATATCCATAATTCTTCTAAATGTTCTCCTACTGCTTCTAATCCAGAAAATGTTTTAATGTTGTTACGACCCAAAGAGAGAATTTTTAAATTTTTCAAAGAATTAATACCGCTGATTTTTTCTATCATATTCGTCGAAAGTGATAGTTTCCTAAAAATGAATCAGCTTAGTTCTTATTTATGAAATTTTTTTTTCTATTTAGACATAAATTATTAACTCCACAGAAGCGAGTGCAGCCAAACTATTATCCATTTTCTCAATAGGGGGCCACTGGAAACATAAAATTATTTCCTTCTGTTCACTAGCATCTAAACCTGTTTTTTCCTCCCATCTTTGAATAGCTTCTTTACAAGTTGTTGCTTTAGCCTATTCATTGTATATCTTATAAAATATTAGTAAAAGTAAAAGTCATTATATTATTAAGTAATAGTAAATACCATGATTAATGTAACGACTTTAACGATAATTATTCCTAATAGAGAATATTAATCTTCACAAATTTTACGTTACTAAAATGCGAACAAAATACAATCGCGATGATTTCCAGTTAACTTCAAATAAAATTAAGGGAAGCAAAATAACTTTGTAAAAGTTGAAAGTTAGCTTCAACTTTAACTATATAATAATTATGTTTAAATTTAATGTAATTTTTATCGTTATTCGTCCGAAGTGCGTTAAACACACAATAAACTGTAGAAAAGAGAGATATAGTACAGAAATTATATTTATCAGTAAATATCAGTAAATAATCAAAATGTAATATAGTAAGAAAATAATTGTATTTAGATTAAAAGTACTTATTCCTAAAGGATACATTAAATGAAATTAGTGAACTATATCTATATTCTTTTTCTTCTTTTTCATTTTTATAGGTATAGGTCCAGGCATTTTGAATACTGTGCTGTAAAAGAGATAACAAATATAAGCTATTATTTATCATGACTATGAAAAATTAAACCACAAATGTAATACTCACTGACAAGTGGTACATATTGGACTAAATTTACAAAATACTGCAAAAAAATTATAATTAATTTACTTAGTATTATATTATTTTATTTCATATAACAATATTAATTTTCTCTTACTTGATAAACATACAGAGCATACATAGCCAATGTCAATAAGTTCTTGATGACAAAAGCATGCTGCACGGTAATCCACTTTGACAGGTGGTGGTAGCACTAGTTTTGATCTGATACTTGGATCTGGTAGAAATATCCACTAAACAGATAAATATATAAGTATAACTTAAGCAGACTGCATAAATGAGATACAAAGATATCATTTTTATTATACCAATAAATATTGTAGTAATCCACTTAATTGTGGAACTTTCAAATAATTTCCACCAGTTATATCACAGCCTTGTTGCAACAAAGTTAATTCTTGATCTAAGCTACATACATCCAATATTACTCCCTGCACATATTAAAGTGTAATTATTAAAATCATATTTAAACAGACAACCAGCAACAACTAATAACAAACCATTTTTTGAGCCGTGAAAAATATATTCATATAGTTCATATATTGTGTTGCAGAATCATTGCTAGCTGTGATGGTAAGAATTCTTGAATATAATTTTTGACCAGCAACCTTCTCTCTTTCTAGCCTTGCAATATAGCATAAGGCCATCGTCAATGCTCCAGATATTAAACTTTCTCCGTTCAATGGTTTATCCATTGAAATTTCGTTGATAACTTGCTGTAACTGTTGTCTTACAGTACGTTCAACCATAGTAAACTTCTCATATTGCCCATCAATTTGTCGAATTTCCACTGGTTTTTCACAAGGATATAAAAATTTTGCTCCATGACTATGGCACGCTATCATAGCTAACTGATTATTTGATGATTGCATTAAATGAGCATTAGCAAAAACAATAGTAGAGTCTAAGCATTGTGTTAATATTCTTGTTTCTTGTTTAACAATTCTTTGTACTGGATTTACATCCAACACAATTATCAATAAACTGGTTTCTATCTCTGAAATAATGTAATTTATATAAATTTTAAATGATTGTATTTCAAAGTTGCTCTGCTAGAAAATTCTTTAGAGGTTAGATAATACCAATTTACCGTTCGACATTTTCAATAATACAAATAGATACAAGTGTTATCTTTTATAAATAAAAGCGAAGTTCTCTGAAAACATCTTTTATGGTTTTTGCATTTTGTAATTAAATTAAAAAAAATATATGACCGAATCTCGCCTTATTCAACCCTTCCCACCCTACTTCGCCTTAGGACATCCAAACTACTGTAGGACTCTATTGCATGTAAATATGTACTCGTAACTTTTTTATAAGTTAACAATTCGATATTAATATTCGATAATTGTAGATAAATGCTAAAAATAAAGACAATTAATTACGTTTCTAATCTCTGAAGTCTAAATTGATGGTAACAGTAAATTGATCCATCATGATTTAAAAACTCCCGCGTTATAATTGTCTGGTCTGCGTAAGTTGTATTACGAAAGCGCGCATGATTTCATACCATATCGCTTTATGTTGGCAGACGATTGGAGTGATCACGTACAGAACAAGTGTAAAATATCATTCAGGTCACTGTAGTGTCTTTGAAAGGTTATTCGACATTATTTTGTTTCGAGTTTGAATTTCATTGAATTTGCTACAAATATGTTGCCACGATTTTTGAAACCTACGTTGAGCGTTGCTCAACAAGGAGCGAAACGATTGTCCACGAGTGCCAGAGTGAGTTCATTTGAATTCAAAGATACGTAAATTTTATCATTGCCTACTTCCATATCATATTTTATACATTTAAAGTAAGACTTGTTCATTCATGAACTTGCAATTAGTATAAAGCTTTTCGATGATTTTGACGTATCATTTACGCTGTACCACACAATATAGAATGAAGTATAGTTATGCAACTATGAATATACCCATTTCGAAATCTATGTATATACCGATCGTAATTCCATCGAATGTTATTTGACTGTTATTATTTAAGTTACGGTAGCATGAAGTATCATACATAGAATTCCTTTGATGGGGGTGTATCGAAATGAAGGTTAATAGAAAGAAATGTTGTTTCAATTTGATTTAAGATTTCTTGTCCTTTAGGTCGATGCCAAGGTCGCTGTTATGGGAGCTAGCGGTGGAATCGGCCAACCGTTATCAATGCTATTAAAACAATCTCCTCTTGTTACCGAATTATCGTTGTACGATATTGTGAACACACCAGGTGTCGCTGCTGATCTTTCGCACATTGACACGCCGGCAAAAGTGAAAGGATTTACAGGACCGGATCAACTGAGAGATTCCGTCAAAGGAGCACAGGTATCTTTCAATACACTACGTCTGTTTGATTGAGGCGCCCGCGCCTAACCTAACAATGTTGAGCGAGCGAGTAAATTTCACGCTAAAGCAAAATTAGTCAACCGTGTCATTCGGTTGAATTGGTTGAGTGGTGCAAGAGAAAAACGTGGGCAAAAAAGTTGAAAAGTCAAGTACATAAGCGCGAGCAAATTCAATTTTGCATTAAAGTCTACGGGGATATGGTATACACGAGGTCATTTTGAGTAATTAATTACACGTTTTAGGGATATATTTTGTGCACTTTTATGATTGAAGAATGGTCAGCAATGCATTATTTACATGGTTCGATCATAAAAGTTGATAAATAATGTTCGGGTAATGAGTAATTAATTATTTTGAGTTAGCATTGCGTTAACATGAGCCGCCTATGTCAATTCTACTGCGCATGCAAAGTGCAATAT